AGCCAGCCAGCCAGCCAGCCAGGGGGATATGAGGGAGCTAATCTTGACCTGGGTTTTTGTTCCTATAAATTTTGACCTGGGTTTCTTTGAGGACATTTACCTGGTTACTCTTTGTTTCTACAAATGCTACACTTTGGAAGTGCTACTGCTTTATCCTAATCCATTTGGCAAGCAGAATTTTAAGAAGAGGGCCAATCTAATGTTGGTCCAAAGACAGTTTCTAGAAATTGTCAGAGACAGAGACTAATGCTCAAGTTCAGTTTTTTTTCCACTCATAGTTTTATTCCCCGCTCTATGCCATACTTCATTGTTGCAGAAGGTGGTGCTGTGACACTTTTAAATTTCACCCAATTCTTTCAACAAGTAGAAACTGTTCCAGGGAATTGATTTCCCCAACATGGTCAATAGGGCAAAGATGAAAACTTTGGGAAATGAACTAAAGGAGGGAATAAGTCTAAACAAAGTACAACATCAGTCGGAAGCTCATCAGGCTGTTCCAAAGCAGATTTCTCAACTTAGGTTTATATTTTCTGCCCAACTCCAATAAAATATTATGATATTGTTTATCCTACAAAATGACTTCTGTTTGATCTTTCAGCTATTTTATGCATTACACAACTGAAAAGGAAGAGTTATAGTGCTTGCAGCTATACTCCTATACTCCAGTCATACCTTCCCCATCTTCCATGTCTGTGCACTGGCATAGATGACTGCAGGTTTTATGTAAATGCAGTAAACATATAGGCTATATGTACATGGATTTCCATTTTGGCTGGTGGAAATGTAGGCTTTCCCCAGCAAAAAGCCACACCTAAGACACGATGATCAGAAATCGGGCTAGGAGAATCTGCTAGTTCAAGGGCATCGACTGCAGTGTAATCTCGTGCCATAATAAGCATATTCTTTCATCTTTATAATGTGGGAAAGAACTACTACAAGCTTATGTCTTTGTTTATTAGCAGCCTGATACAGCCAGCCTACAGACAATTGTGACTTCTCCTCTTTTGAACGGTTTGATGTGAATTCCTGTCATATGTTGTTTTTGCTATTTCGGAATCGAAAGTCATTTGAATTTCCCCAGAAAGCTTGGGGAGAATAAGTTGGAAATCCTTCAACTACTGGCATGTTTAGATACCACCAACTGAACTAAATAAGGGAAAGTTTTACATATGTAAGAATTTGGGATATGTATCAGTGCATAGTTTCCCTCACAGTGAAAATAAGCCAAAAAAACTGCATAGAGAAGTCCGTGTACGCACTGGAGATGTGCATGTATTTCAGAGCTCCCATATTGTATATTCTAGTAGAAGTTGAATGATTGTACACCGGGGCAATCCAATGACAAGCAGATTGAAGCTATCTCAATAGGACTCAATAGGACTAAGTGCTTTAATTAAGCGCCTAGCTATCACTTGCAATAGGAATCTGATGCAATTAACTTTCTCTGAATTAGTCCAAAGTGCTCCTAGCTTAGTTTTCATCTTCTCTGCGATAAAGCCAGGTGCTTACAAGGTATAAATACAGCACACATTAATTGAAGTGTGTAGCCCTATATCGATTTACGAAAGCTGTCACTCTGGCCCAGGGTCTCCTGTTGCTACTCCAATGTCTCTTGTCAGTAACTACAGTATAAACAAACACAGACTGCAAGGAGTCTTGGAGGAGAAAACCTTTCTCCCATTATGGAAAGTGCTGACCTTTTTGGATCTGGGTGGAAGTTTGGTTTCACATTCTGACAAATGACTTTGTCTAGTAAAGCAGTGATACGCCTCTTGGCACACAGAAGGAAGACAGTCAAGCTTAAAGGGACAAATTGCAAGACTGGGAGAGAGCAGCTGACTAAGCTAAGTAATCAAACAACAGTTAATAGCATTGAGGTCACCTTTTCTCCCTTTTCTCCTACATCACCCTTTTCTCCACGTGGACCAGGGAAACCCTATAAAAAATGAACAAAAAGACCTCTATTGGCTTCTGTATATTGATATGTGGGTTTGTTTTTACGGTAGAGCTTATATTATATGCACCCAGCCACCCTCACTCCCAAGAATACTGCATCAAGTAATTTGGAACTGAAAAAGAATTGATAGAAAATCACCCTCATTTTCCTACATGCAAATTAGTGCTGGCAATGTTCAAGGACAAATGCTTCATAGAGGTTCAGTGGCACTGAACAAATGGGCAACATTCTAATTAACTTCTCTCAGTTCAAAAGAAGTTGCATAAACTGGAACATCTAACCGCAGCTTCTAATTTAATTCTGATAAGATACAAACTCAATTGCAGTCAGCATGTGCAATCAAAGATGCTGCAGAACCTAAAAACCCTAGTTCCTGGTGGGAATAATTTCCCATGAGATTTTAACTGTTTTAGAATGCAGCGGCTGGCTTTCTTTTTTTTTGTGGTTTGTGATAACATGATTAAAATATCCCAAATCTTGTAAGAGCTGTTGCTGCAAATGGGAGTTGCCTTGTGGTGCAGTTTTAAAGTGGCTGCATTTTGAGCACCACTGACTGCATTTGTAAGGCTTGATGCACTTAGTATAATGCTTATAACAATATAGAATTGTATGAACATTTGCCATTTCATAGTCATTTATCTGCGCTCTAGTTAGCATCAATTGCTGCAAAACCATTAAGGGCACTATTTATGGTGGGATTATTCCTTTTTCTCTATTATTATTTTAAGACAAACAACAGTACAATGTTGAGTATAATCTCTGCATGATTTTCATGCATAGGAAATGGGAAAAACTTCAACATGCTCCAAGCATGCGGCTATTACTTGAAACAAATGTTTACCTACCACACAGACAAATGGGTGATCAATTATTACTTACATCAAGGCCAGGTTCACCATCTTTGCCCTATTAAAGAACCATATTAGTTTTGTTAAGCTTTCAGGCTCTTATAAAGCTTGAATTGGATTAAACATTTGCCTGAATTATTCAGATATGCAGCAATTGCACTGTGTACAAAATACAATTTTGAATCCAAAACTGGCTGAAGAACAAGACCTCTGAATGAAAGAGAGCCACAATACATTTATCCTTTTTACACTGGGAACCCTTTAAACTTGAGGAAATATTTAGGTATCACTCAAACAAATTATGATTAATGTTAATTATGGTTTTGTTGAAACAAAATAGCATGAAACAATGAGTTCTGATATATTTCAGCAAACCACAACTTAACCATTTGTTAGTTCAGACAACATGTTAAGCAAAACATAAAAACAAAATCCTCCAAACTCTTCTTCCCAGTTCTGATGGAACACAGGAAAAGAAGAGAGTGGGAATCCATGGCGCTGACCACATTCAATGGCCAATATATGCCAAGCAATTAAAATGTTTGGGAATGCAGTATATACATGTTGATTATTACGTTAGAACTACTACTCAGGGTAGCTGTGTAAGGATGGGGTTGGATGAGGCAAAATGTCATGGAATAGAATCTGACAGTCTGTCTTACTGATCCTTAGGATGCTGGTAACTTCTTTAGAATTGGAAGACATCTGCTGACAATCATACCATATAAAAAGAATATTGGGAAAACTCTGAACGTGTCCACTATTGGTCAAGCCATTTCAGTATCAATAGGAACCACTGGAAGAAAGCTTAGAACGTTCTAAAAGAATACTCCTCAAGGACCTCTAGTACAAATCAAGGACCTCTAGTTTTATAGAAATTAGGAAATTAATTCCTAACCTTTTCTGATTAACAAATGGCTCACAAAAGCTTATGCCTCTTAATAACTTTTATTAGTCAGAAAAGGTAATGTCAGATTCTGGTTTTTTTGGGTCACCAGACTAACACAGTTTGGTCCTCCTGCAATGTCTAGTTTTCCAGAGAATATGAACTGAGGGAACTGATTATTTATAGAATCACTCTTCTCCAGTCAGCTGTTCCCATCCTGTAGGATCTGTTAGGGTAGACATTTTCTGAGTCTCCTGACCAAAAGAATAGTATCTGGGGATATACCAGAGGTCTCTATCACCACCTCTGCCCTTTGGAATAAAGTTCTCTCTCCGGTCTGGTCTGTCTCAACCTTACTATGCTTCAGAAAAGAATGAAAAACCTGATTTTTTTCAGCAGAGGTGGGCCAAGGTAATTTGTGATTCCATTTGAATATTTGTTGGAATTTTCTTTGTAAGTATTTTCCCAATTTGCTGTTATTACTGCATTTGTTTTATTATGGTTTTAAACCACTGTATGCCACCTTGAGCCATTTTTATTAAACAACCTTACAAACTAATTATTATTATTACTATTATTATTATTATCACCATCATCAACAACCCTGGAAAAACAAACCATGACTTAGTATGATATATAAACTTAGTTACTATGTAACTAAGCATAGATTTACAGGATCACAAAAGACTTGTAATTTCAGTGAATCTTGGATATTGGTTGGGTTTCAGATCTTAGATCCAGGATGATTTCCAATGGCTGGTTGGGATGTGGGAAGGAATATTTATCTGTGTGACACAGAGAGAGAGAGAGCTCAAAAGTTCGGAAATAGTTTCTTGTGACTGTTTTTGAACTACTGAAATATTCATCTGAACTGCTAAAAAAAGTATTATGCAGTCGCAAAGCAAGCTAGCAGGAGAACAGATGTTTCTATTGTCATTGTAATGGAGTGTGACTTGAAACTCTAGATAGATGTTTCTGGAGCACTGCCAGAAGTTTTAATCTTAATCTGAGTATTGGCTTATGTGGCTAAAATGCCTGGCAGCAGCTCTTCTGGCTTTCGGACGACCAGCTGCATGCTTTACCAAGGAACTACAGTGGTACCTCGGGTTACGAATTTAATCCATTCCATGACTCTGGTCGCAACCCCATTTGTTCGCAACCCAAAGCAAATGTTCCCATAAGGTTCAATGTAATTACCGTTAATCCATTCCAGCGTCCACGGACCACACGTCAAGGGTGGAAAAACGGCCGCAGACCGTGCGGCAGAGCGGAAAAATGGGCGCGGATCACGTGGGACGGGCGGAAAAACGGCCGCGGACCACGCGGCAGGGTGGAAAAACAGCTGCGGACCGCGCGGCAGGGCGGAAAAATGGCCGCGGACGTGTCACGGGCGGAAAAATGGCCGCGGACCACGTGTCACGGGCAGAAAATGGCCGCGGACCACGTGTCACGGCGGAAAATGGCCGCGGATCCGGTTCATACCCCGAGGCGGAGTTCGCAAACCGAGGTAAATTTTTGTGGCCGGAGTTCGTAAGCAGAGGCGTTCGTAACCCGAGGTACCACTGTACGGCCATTCCCAGATTAGTAAATTCCTCCATTACACATAGTGATTCTCACTGATTAATGTAGAAACCACTGCTGCCATGTCCTTTGAAATTAATGCAACTCTTATTCGACAGGCAAGTCAACGGATATGTGCTTATTCCATGATCTTCCATTTGCAAAACTTTTTCTGATATTAAATAAGGCAATTTGGTGGAGGAAGGGGCAACAGTGATATATTCTGATGGAAAGTCTGATCAGATTTTTAAAATTAATTATCTAAAATACATGCTAAATGAACTCATGCGATTGTTTTCTCTGTAGCTGTCACATCTGAAAATGGCGTGATTTTTGGCTTTTGTGTCCTTGTGTGTATTAGTGTGTTTGTCTCCCTTCCATGTGTGCATGGACACACATACATACACATAGTTTCATCTGCAGTTTGAAGAAATGAGATCATGCATGATTCCAAGAAGAATCTGGTTAAATGTGCACTTTGACAGAATTAAGTACGTTGCAATTTTTAAAAATCCCCACAAAAATAACCATTTTCAAACATTCTAATGCTTTCGAATAGTGCTTAAATGAAACTACATCAGTTTCAGCATATATGTATAAATTTCTGATTTTTTAGTATCTGACCTATAGAAAAATATTTCTATGTCAAAATATTTATCCAAAGAAAGAATGCATTTTTCAAAAATTATACTGGATATTGAGATGTCTCCTCATTTTACATATACCTGCATGTATGCACATTAGGAAAATTTAATAATTGCTTCCAATAGATTGTAATATTCAATGCAGCTACTTATATCAGTCTCTCATGCAGCAAAAAACATTGTCAAAGACATTTCATAAAACAAGAGAATGACATAGTTATGTAAAATTAAAAAACAAAACAATAAAAACAACCCTTATCAAATTTCCTTCAAATGCAAATTAAAACATAACAGCAAAAAGGTGTTTTGTATAATTAAGACCTGATTGCTCTTTCCTCCTGGAGAGATGCCTAGGGTTTTAAGACAAAGTAATCTGTGATATTTTATTGACACAAATTCATACCATTATGTTTTGATGCTTAAGGACAGGTAATATCTTCACAAAGCTATGAAAATGGCAGGAGCAGTACAAAAGAGATGATGTTCAATTCTGGCTTTTCTTATTTTGTAAGTTTACATCAAATCTACTCTATTATTTTTACAGAGCGCACCTCAGAAGATGAATCTGTTTGAACATGAGATAAGAAGATGGTCTCATGAGCCATGATTTGCTATTTAAACTAATTGCATTTCTCTGTGGTGAAGAATTATAAAACATCACAGGATTTAATAAAGGATTTCACAAAAATTACACTTTCTAAAAATGTCATATAACTTACAGGCAAACCATATGGTCCTCTGGGCCCAGGATCTCCTGCAATTCCCTTTTCACCCTAAAATATAATAATATCAATGCTGCTCATACATGGTAAAGAGATTTTACTATGCAGTCTGTTTCACTTATTTCCACTCTCTGCCAAAGCTCAGGGATCTACATGCCATGTTTGCTTTTACAAGAAGCCTTAGGTAGGTCAAGGGGACTTCCGGTAAAGAAATGGCAAACTGAAGATGGCTCCATTAAAAGCAAAGCTGACAACCATGGTGGAATGAAGAGCCAGCGAGTAGACCAGCTCTTTGTAATTCCTCTGAATAAGGAGAGGACTTGGGATCACCCACAAATGCTCCAGACAGTTGCTCCTCGTGATGAGACTGCAAGATAGCAGTCTCTGATTGGTTTAGAGCTCTGGGAGATTAGGGAATAACTATCTTGCTCAACCCCCAGTCTGTGCCTTTAAGGACACTGGGTTCACATACTTTCTTTTCTAATCATTTCCAGAAATTGCTTGTTAACTGCTTTTCAGCTATTAGAAACCTTTGGATAGACATGTTTTACAGCATCAGGTGAGTTTCCTTCAATCCTTAGTGAAAGAAATTTTAAATACAAGCTTAATGACTTAATTTTTTTTTAATGGAATAAACAGCAAAAGGGTGATTAAAACTTTGCTTTTAGAAGTTACAAATGGACTAAGGGTCCAGATAAATTTAAAATAATATTTTAGAATTAATGATCAGAATCCTTTCCATAAGAAAATACGTTTGTTTTGAATTCTTTAAAAAAAAACATAGGATGGGATTTTGAAGGTTGGACACTAGAGGGAACTAGAATAAACTAAAGATTACAATTAAAGGAGAAGAACACTTAAATTTGAGTTACTAATACAGAATAGAGCAAAATATTTTAACATTGGACATATTGAAGGATATTTTTGAACAATGGACCCAGAAATTAATGTTAAGAGTTTCTGCTTCTATAGATAGACTATGTTTAAAAGATGTTATGGAAGAGGAACAAGTTTTACTGGATAAGACTGAGACTGATCTTGGATTTAAAAATGACAAGCCACAAGAATGATATGGAAAAAGATGGACATACACTGGACATACAAAAGAAACCAGCTGATATCTTCATAATTAAAAGTGATTTACAAATAGCAAACCAAAAGAGTGACCTGGATAATCTTCCTATATTGGGTTTACAAAAGAGGCTTTTGTGAGAAGGGACAAAGAAAAAATGAAAAGAAATGAAGTTTTAGGACATTATTTGAAGGGACTGAAGTTCAAGATTGTTAAAAATAAAAGGAAGTAATATAAAGCTGGTTTATTTGATTAAGGTTAAAATATATCTATTGTTATGTCTGGTAACCGTTAAAGGACTTCTGCTGATATCAGGACTGAAATGACGAGGCTTTAAGGATTTGTTTATAGATAAGATATGGGATATGGGAAGAAAAGATCAA